AAGGAAGGTTGGGCAATCCTACTTCCATAGTGATACTGCCTCGGAAACCCAAGGAGGGGTCGCTATGAGTCGGGTTTGACTTGACGGCACATAACAACAACAACAACAACAAACACAGGGAAGTAAAAATGTATAAAGTAAGTCTTGTCCTGAAAGGACTTATAATCAGATACTCTCTCACTTTGTTTAGAATTTAAATTTAAAGTAACACTTTAAATAAACAAATAAAACTGTTGTTCTTTTTACTTTCCTTGGTTTTAGAGTCCTTTGTCCTGGATAAAAGGTTTGAAGTGGGGGGAGTATGTAGGCTCCCCAAGTGCTCCAGTGCCAGTGGTCTGTTTCAGCCAACCCCATGGAGAAAGATTTGCTTCTCTTCAGGCTCTGCCCACCAGGGCCATCTGTGGCTTGTCCCAAAATTTCTGTCTTCTGATGACATACAGCAAAGAGCAAGGTAAAATAAAAGTGTGATGAAAATCATCCTGGGTATATCTTTCATGAGATTTGAATGTTTCAGACTCATCTGTGCTGTTATTTGATTTATCTCTAAAGTTTTCTAAGTCCTTGGTGGAAAATTGTACTCAAATTATGTTTATTTAGTGCAATGTGGGAATTAAAACATGCTACATGAAGAAAACGGGAATTAAATGCAATGCCATTTGAAATGAGAGGACACGTTTTAAGGAGAGAAGAATAGATGTTTACACTTCCATAATGAAAACATCATTTTGATAGATACTTACACTTCAACTTGAAGCCCTAGAATCCTAGAATAGACTGATATATTTGACCAACAGATCTATTATCACAGAAGATGTAGACATGAGATTCGCTAACAAAGAAAACAACAAGGGAGTGAAGATAGCTTTGAAAATAGGTTTTTAAAACATAGAGACCTGAAAAGCAGTTCATTCTTTTTTTTTTTTTTTTTTCTTTTTATGGCATTTTGGATACAAATTTAAAAAGCAGGATTTGTTTTACTCTAAACAGTTCATATATATTTTGTTTCATGGCACCAATTATATCCCAACAATAAACAGCTCTCCTCTCATCCCCTCCCTGTGACTACCCCCCTTCCCTGTTTCCTTCTTTTCTATGCCTTCCTGTCTGTCCAGCTTTCCCCTGTGCAAATGTGCCTTTCTGATCTCTCATGGTTGATTGATCCAAGGGGTACATCTCCCTGGGATAGGTGTTCTCCTTATAGGACTTTCTACTATTTGGCTAAGAGCTAATCCACGAAAGTGAGTTCACTTCCAGGTCCGATGGATAATCCACGGCCATGGTTTCACCAACCTCAATTCAACCATTAATTCTGGTCATTTTTGTTTTTGAATTTTGGTCCCCATTTTTTTCCCACTCTATCCAAAACCTCCAATTTTTATCCTTTTCTGAAGGGTTTGCATTGGTAGCCACGTACCATCTAGTTCTTCTGCCCTTAGGGTTATGAAGGCTGAGGTTCCCATGTCCATTAGTCCCTTGAAAAGTTCTTTTGTGACTCCTCATGCACTGAATCACTAAAAGCAATGTGGGAAAGTGCTATAGAGGCCTTCTTCTTATTCCTAAATGTCAGCTAAGCAATCCCTTAGACCTTGTAAATTAACCACTCAACTAAATGTAAAAAGAAGTCTCCCTACTTACTTGTCATGGATGTTGGGCACAAATATGAATCATTGAAGGCAGTCATCTACTTAAGCAGGTTATATACTGGTTTGTCTGAAAGCCAGCTTGTGGACTAGATGCCTCTTAGCAGTACATACTGTTAGTGTTTAGCAGTACTTTCTACCGGCACCATGTTCCTAGTGTCCAGGAAGCCTTCCACCAGCAGTGCAGTACGAGGATGCCCACACCCATGCCAAACATCAGTATCTGAAAGAAATTAAGTGGTAGCAGGGCCATACTTCTTCTAGGCTTACTCTTATGTCTATCATGAGACAAATGATTATTAAGAATAAGAAAGGATGCATACTGTTTCATCTCAGTTTAGTGTGAGTTAAGGTCAGATCTTTTGAAGTGGTTTTTCTGCACTAATATTTTGCAGTTAGTTGTAAGATATGTCATAAGTAGTTTACTATTTAAAATACCAAAACATGTAAATAATTCACCTTAAAAAATAGAGTGTATTGAAACTGACTTAGAATAGTTCAAAGGTTATCACTGTCGAGCAGAAGAGAAGAATATTATTACTTAGCATTATGGGTCTTATATATGTGGAATATATTCTCAGCCTATTGTATTTGTGCCACTATAATCACAAGCCCTTAGTGTACACCTTAGTAGCTGTATTACACTTTACTTGTTTGCAAAATGTTTTGGATTTGTCAAAATCTAGGTATCTCCAAGAAGTCATATAAAATGATGGTTATAGCTGTAGCCTGAGTTTGCATCCCAGCTCTGCAACTTAATAGCTATGTGACATTGAGAGAGTCACTTTAGCTTTCTAGATCCTGGCTTTAGACCTGTAAAATGGGAATAACAAAAGAATTTACCTCACAGGATGATTTATTGTAAGAATTAAACAATATATGGAAATGCTTAGCACAGTGCCTGGTTCATTCTTAGTGCTTAATAAATACTCAATGGACCATAAACACGCTGGGGCCAGAAATCTATGATAGTCTTGTTCACTGCATGTACCAGTGCATAGCTGTCCCCGGCGGTAGGCATTCTGCAGAGATGTTGAATGATCGAGAGTGTGGCAAGTGAAAGGTACATCAGATATGAAAGCTGGAAAATGTTAAGCTTTATTATATAAAATGATTAGATAGTTTTGCTTAATTATACATGGATAATGTAACAACTAGACTGAGATAGCTTTAATTATGTTAAGCCCAATATAGGCCAATTTCTTAAGAACTGCCTCAAAATTACCTGAGGTGCTTTTTTTCAAATAATACTCACTTGGGTCCTACTAGCAATACACTGCATCAGAGCCTCTGAGCCTTGATTACAAGCCTACGCATGTTGAAAAATCAGTTTTGTTGCAAACTCCTATTTAAGAATCTGTTCCACTAGCTAGTTGCCTAGTCAATTCCAACTCATGACGACCCCCTCCCCCAAATGTGGCAGAGTAGAACTGTTATCCATAGAGTTCTGATTTTTTGGCAGTAGATCTCCAAGCCTTCTTCCAAGGTTCCTCTAATTGGACTCAAATCCCAACCATGTGGTTAGCAGCTGAGCCACTCACACCACCCAGGGACTTCACTGCTCTAATAGATAAAGGAAAAGTTTATTTTTCTGTTTAAAAAAAAAAAAATGCATACTGGTTCTGCTATATGAACTTCAAGCTTTAACCTGTCACTCATATTTTTGTTGTTAGGTGCGTCGAGTTGGCTCCGACTCATAGCAACCCTATGTACAAAACAAAACACTGCCCAGTCTTACGCCATCATCACAATCCTTGCTCATACACCCAGTCACTCATACAGCTGTCTAATAACAGTGGGAGCAATGGCATTCTAATACATTTATTTCTCCTTTTCCTTGAGGTGTGAGAAGCATGAACAGTACTGACATTCAGTGGTCAGCCATCCTGAGCTGGGGATATGCTGATAACATTTTAAGGTTGAAGAGTAAACAAAGTGAGCCTCCAATAACCTTTATACAAAGTTCACAGCAGTACCAGGTAACCTTCTTTTTTTAATGGAAACTTTATAATCATTAAATATAATACTTTAAAAAGGAGTCAGACTGTCACTGCTTGGTCACAGCCAGCTATCCAGAGGGACCAAATAGTTGAACCTGTGGGCTTGGGACCATAGTTACAGGGGACATCAAGCTCAATTGGCATAACATACTATACAAAACATTGTTCCACCTCCTACTTTGGCGAGTAGCGACTGGGATCTTAAAAGCTAGCAAGCTGCCATCTAGATGCAACAATGAGTCTCTCCTCGTCCAGAGCAAAGAAGAATGAGGAAAACCAAAATTCACGGAAACAATTAGTCCTAGCGACTGGTACACCATCCGATCTGCAGCCTATATGACTATGAGACAAGAACTAGATGGTGCCTGGCTACCAGTGTCATCCACTTGGAAGGGGATCCTTGATAGAGAGGGAGAACAATGTGGAACAAAACTCAAAATCATTTGGAGAAAAAAGTGGGGGGATGCCAGGTTTGCTGGTCCAATAGAGCCTGGTGGAACCGCTGAGACTATGACCCCTAGCTGTCCTTCAGGTCTGGAATTGAACCCATACCTGTGGCTTCCAGCCAAACAAAAGACAGGCATATGAGTTGAACATTTACCTGAGATAGATAACACTCCTTGGAGAGAACAAGCATGGGAGAAAAAAGGGCTGCTTATGCACAGGGAGACAACTCAGGGGGCAGGAGTGCATGGAGGGATGGACACTGGGAAGAGGTTAACTATGGGGAAGAAGTGGGAGGGGAGCTGTTGCATTGTGGTAAACTGTTGTCAATGTCATGAGACAGTGTATGTGAACTGCTATATGGAAAGTGAATTTTCTCTGTAAATCTTCACCTAAATCACAATTTTAAAAAAAAGACACATATGCCACTTTGGCGGGACTCCTGCTGGCCTGGTGTGCAACAAGTTGGGCATTAAAAAAAAGGAGTCAGACTGATAACAGCTAGTTTTTAATACCCTGCAATTAGTCCAATCCAAGAAGCTGATGGTGCTGACTTTACCTCAGTTACAATGGTTACAGACCTCCTAACTATTGCTGTTCTGTGTCCTCAAATTTGTTTTCTGCCTGTTGTCTCAGTGAGAGACTATCATATCATGATCTCTTATTCAGTGTCAACTAATATCCCAATGCTTGAATGAAATCATCTTCTTTTCTTCTCAGTGTTCACTTACTACAGTGTCACTGTGTCATTTCTATAACCACAATGCTATCTTTTATGGGCCAGATTAAGCACCATGATATAGTAGAAAGAATATTAGGCTTAAAGCGCCATAATTTTGGTTAGTGTTCCTTGCTTTGCTGTTGACTAATTATGTACTTTTGGACATATAACTGACCTTTCCAAAGTTAAGTTTCTTTCTTTATCTTTAAAACTGAGGTAATAGTATCACATTACTCATTCATAAGAAAGTTGTAAAAACATTTCCAATGTTTGTAAAAGTGTTTTGTAAAATATAAAACACCATGTAAATACACAGTACTGCCAAAACTTTAACAGGCTCTAGATTGTATGCAGGGAGCTCTGGTGGCACAGTGGTTAAGCACTTGGCTACTAACCAAAAGATTGATGGTTCAAACCTACCAGCCGTAGAAGAAAGATGTTGCAGTCTGCTTCCATAAGGATTACAGCTTTGGAAACCCTGTGGAGCAGTTCTATTCTGCCATAGGGTCAATATAAGTCAGAATCAACTCAAGATCACACAACAACAGATTGTATGCAAGATCTTTTTTCTTTGACTTCCATGGGAAATTCTTTTTACCATTTCTTGACTTCTACTTCCTGTATAACACCTGCTGTCTATTCGTGTATCCTAAAACATATTTCTAATCCTTGAGCACTTTAGAAATGGAGTAAACTCCGCATAACGTGGATGAACTTGGAGGACATTATGCTGAGCGAAATAAGTCAGTCACAAAAGGACAAATATTGTATTAGTCCGTTATTGTAAAAGTTAAGG